CGAGTTTTATTCCTGTGCTCTGACATCTGGGATGATACTGCTTTAAAATACAGTTTAAAGTTTAATGGTGTGCTCTGACCTCTAAGCTGATGCTACTGCTGTCTTTGCTGAACACAGGTCCGTAAAATCATCCGCGTGTGTAAAGGCATTCTGGAGTATCTGACCGTAGCAGAGGTGGTGGAGTCCATGGAGGATCTCATCACTTACACCAAAAACCTGGGACCCGGTATAATCACTTTCTTATTTATGGTTATGATTAGGGATGTCTGTTTTATTTGATTTGATTTTTAAATCTAGATGAAAAGTCATTCGCAATTTATAGAATAAAACAAAAATGTTGTTTAACTCGGACACATTACTATAAATCATAAATTCTGGGAAAAAACTGAATTATCTAGCAGTCTTTAACATTTTTAATGCATAAAATGGAAGAAAATAAAAAGTAAATATTAAAAATGTGAAAGTTAATCCTTTTTAATTTAAATTTAATTGGTAAAATGTTATTTCGTTTAGTCAGTAATCATGTTTGAATGTACAATAGATCTTACATAAAAGTACAGTAATAAAGTCAAAATAATCTAATTGAAAAAGTATTTGGTGCATAAAGCTGTGCTGACTTAAAGGATTATATACATTTAATTGATCAAATAATCATTTTAATTCCTAGTTGTTATTTAGCATTAGGATTAATATGTCAGCCCGTCCAGATTCAGCATTTAAAAGCATGTATTTGCACTTACAGGCATGACGAAGATGGCCAAGATGATTGATGAGCGCCAGCAGGAATTAACCCATCAGGAGCACAGAGTCATGCTGGTCAACTCCATGAACACTGTGAAGGAGCTCCTGCCCGTCCTCATCTCAGGTATGACCTCCTTAAAGATCGGTATGGCATTATGCCAACGGCGTAGATTTGCTCTTGACATTGATGGGGACGTACAGTACATCCCAAGAACAGCACATATTCTCTTTCACGCTTTAAATAACACCAATAAAGGCTTTAAACACTCAATAATGCGAATAGCCGGTAATAAAGCACGCCCCATGCTGGAATAGTCAATCTAAAGTTGATTTTACTGCAATCGGAGGATAAATGTAGAGAAATTTATGGCTCGTTTTCACTGACAGGTACAGTACAGTACGGTTCAGGCTGGTACAAGTCACCTTTATCAGGCTTGCGTTTCCACCACAAAGGGTACCTTTTTGGTGGGCGTGGTGTATGACAAAGTTTCAGTCGCATCATTCTCGCTCGAGGAAATGTCTACAGTAAAGCTGTACGGGTCGCTCACATATCACATGAGAAGCACTACTCTCAAAACAGATGCTTTATACCAGGGGTGTCCAAACTTTTTAGGCAGAGGGCCAGATGCAAAGAAACAAACGTTGTCGCGGGCCAAATTTTACATACATCACAAAGACATGCATATATATATATATATATATATATATATATATATATATATATATATATATATATATATATATATATATATATATATATATATATAGACAGACAGACAGACAGACAGACAGCTGAATAGTTTCAACCCCCCCCCCCCCCCCCCCTCTTAAAACAGCACATACAAATAACAAAACAGCATAGATTACCTGCTGTCTCTTGCTCAAAATCCTTAGTTTGTCTCTCAAAACTAAATTTCTGTGTCAGTGAATGTGTCAGTGCCATCAGAATGACAAGTGCTGCTGTCATTGTGTAAGGATAAGACAGTCAAATTACTTAGTCATGTTGTCAATATAACAGTGTACTCTGGAAGGGTGTTCTGGTGTAAACAGTGGCTAATTTGTTATTTTGACCTGTTTTTACTGTAATTTGTTAACAGACCATGTCATCGTGATACAGAAATAAAAAGACAGCACTGCACAGCAGAAAAAAAACTAAACAAATGAAGAAATGTAAACATACTATAGGACTTCTCCTTTTAGATGCACCTTCATTAGAAAAACTCAAGATTTACCCGCGAGGAACTTACCAATTCTAGAAAACAACAAAAAGTCTATTGGAAATGCATAGAAACATGCCTAATCACAAAATATTAAGACAACTTGTTCAGCCACTTTACATGGAAAGACTTAAGCCATGAACAAAGGATAAATGTTGTGGTGGGTGACACTATTCAACAGAGAACAAAATA